ATGGTGAAGAACGCATCACGCTATGCCTGGCGTAAGGGCAATCCGGGCCGCTACAAGACGTTCCAGATAACCATATCTGAGATCAATGAGGCTGAAGACCTACTCACCAAGGACACCGCCAAGGACACCACCGAGGATGCTTGCGGACCAATTGCCGACAATAGACTCAACCTCAGGCTGGAGGCAGTGAAGAAGCAACTGAACAAGGTAGGTGCCTGTCACGTCACCATGGCAACACTCGGGGGAAAGCCTTGCGATCATCAGGGATTCCATTGTAGAAGTGTAGCAGTGATCATAGTGTTGCAATAGTAGTAGTGATGGCCGTGGGTGGTGGCCGTGGCCGTCACCATGGCATTGGCAGTAGTAGTAGTAGTATAGTAGTAGTTAGCAGTAGTAGTATTAGCAGTAGCAGCAGCAGCAGCAGCAGCAGCAGCAGCAGCAGCAGCAGCAGCAGCAGCAGCAGCAGTAGTAGTAGTAGTGGCAGTGATCATTGTAGTAGTGGTATTGGTAGTGGTAGTGGTAGTGGTAGTGGTAGTGGTAGTGGTGGTAGTGGTAGTGGTAGTGGTAGTGGTTGTAGTAATAGTAGTGGTGGTAGTGGTGGTAGTGGTTGTAGTAATAGTAGTGGTAGTGGTAGTGGTAGAGTTAGTAGTAGTTGTGGCAGCAGCAGTAATAATAATAATAATAGTAATAATAATAATAATGATATTAATAATGACAGAATTCCCATCAGGTGGGGTTCTGTGTGGGTTGCTAACGTGATGTGTGATTGTGGGACTCTGATGTGACCCGGTCGGTTTTAGGTTGAGCGCCCGCTGGAGAACGTACAGGAAGATCGACTGGCAGACTCGAGGGGAGACACTGTGACTCCGTTGAAGGAGGAAGACGAGGAGGAGGGAGAATTACCCGAAGATGAATTAAGCACGATGTCTCTCGTGGAAAAGATGTCTCTGTTTGCGCAATTCGAGCGAGAGCAAAGACTAGGTACCTAAACAAGCAAAACAGATGAAATAAACGCGTGCGTCTCTGTGAATTCTCTACATTCTGCGATGAAAATCAGAAAATGCAAGCAAAATTGAGTATCGTTAACATCCTAATATCTAACTGAAATCCGATTAAACTGCAAATCTCAAGATACTCAATTCTCATTTCTCATTCAAATATATCTGAAGTTTTTCTCGAGGGGTGTATTTCACGCGCGTCATCTGACCTTGTTGCAACCTTTTATGTGGAATTTGATTGATTTTTCATTTTCATTCTTATGGCTGACACTAGGTGTCACCACTGTACATACTTATTTCTCCATATAACAATGCATGTGAACTTTCAGAGCGTTTTGATTGTCCGCGTTCGTGTGTAGTGAGCCGTAGCCCTTAAAATACTGATAACGACAGAGACGTGATACAACCAGCCTTTTCACGGTATTCATTATGGCAGAATCCATCAGCATAAACCCTTTTACAGCGGTCATCTGCAAGTGATAGTTGAAATTGCTGCGCGGTCGAAAATAGCATTTACACTTCGTTTCATAGCGTTACATATAGGTCCGGATTTTTGACCCATAGCTTATTAGTGACGTCATGCAGTACACATTGTTCGCGCGTTTTTAACCTCGTAATTTCTCACAATTTATCAAGATGCACGGAAAATTTTTACACATTTTTCGGTTTCAGTTAGTTATGGACATGTCATAGTAACTACTAACAGTAGATGTTTCACATACGTTCACCCATTCTGCAAAGAGACGGTCGGTCGATCAGTGTGAAAAGTAGAAAAACGCTGATTTCTCCGTTTCGATTTCTGCGACAATAGCAGATATATAAACGGATGTTTCTGTGTCATTACCACGCGGATCAATATACTGTTACACTCGTTTTAATCGTAACTTCATAAGCTTGAGTGTATTCTTTACCCTGATGCAGGTAAAGCGAAGGCCCACTCGCCACGGCACCCGCGTCGCAAGAACGCGCTACGCTCACAGACTCAGCCCGTCACCGTGTCAGAGGTCAAAGAGGCTGCCGTCCTCGCGGACGTGATAGAGCGTCGGCAAACACCTGAGAAGCGTGCGAGTCCTGAGAAGCAGGTGGCGCCACCTGGCTCTGAGGAAGCAGGGACGACGAAGGCGCCGGGTACCGTGATGCTGTTTAACATTTGACGTCCGCGCTAAACAAGAGCGCATTCATCATCATCGCCTATTTATTGGCCCTGCCACATGTCTTGTCCTTGTACAGTAGCGCTGTGTTCTCACACGCGTGCCGCCGCCATCTTTCTAAAATCGTTTCATGCTTCAAAAATATTTATATTACATTTATTACACGGATAGATGTATTTTTATCTCGTATGTTTTACCGCTCGGTGATATCTGGTTTTAGAAAGACGTCGGCACACGGAAGTGTATGATAGTAAATTTATTTAGAGCAACTAATATTTATTAATAATATCCTTCAAACCATATCTAATCAATCTGTTTCGCACCTCTTTAATAACTATCCTTGTATGTGTTGATGTGATTTCATAATGACTCTATGGCTGTACATAAATGCATTTGGATTTCTGATGACGCCCTTTCGTTATACAACTTGCCTTTTTTTTAACAGCGAGTTCTTAATCGACCTTACGTACTTTGAGATTAGAAATTTTAAAAGTGTAAATGATTTAATATTTTGATTACAGAATCATTTTTAGTACAGATCGTATAAGTGATATCGGAAAGTCCAGCTGTGCTGATTAGGTCATAGAAAAAGGGGGTATAAGATGGCCGAGGCGCGCTTAGGAAAGTACATGATTAACGTAAACATTCGTGCGTTTTTAGTTTTTGCATTAACACAAACATTGCAAAATATCCCAAATGACCACAAACATATTTGTAAATGATTCTGTAAACACTAACGCACCTGTGAATTGAAGTACGATGTTAGTGACGAGAATTAAAGATCAAAAACTTGGACCATTCTTTTTCTTAACAATGTTATAAAAGGGCAACTTATACCCCCTCTTATCTGATCTTAATATGTCGGCGGGGACTTTCCGTTATGGCTTATAGGTAGAAGCCACTAGAGGGCGCCTTCAGTAATCCATGCATGTATGTCTGCGACGTTGGCAGTAATTTCTGCCGACGTCAGAATCGGTGATTCGCATGTTGTGCCAAGTCTGTAAATAAGTCCATGAGTGTTGCATTCGTTTTGCTCGTACGTCGTACGTATATATATAGATAGTACTTTGAACTACAGCATGAGTGTGATATACTTTCCACTCGAGTAATGCGCAAGGGAGGGTTGCATTAATTCCCTCCGTGGCTAGGTTTTACCTCACCTTGCTTTCAATGATGCAGTCGTGTTTTGCCCGACCCTGTGATTTCAATGTGCCCATAAGGGGGCAGCACATGCTGAAAGCTTTCAATTTTTTTCATCCGCTTGCTATTTTCTCTGTGCTTCATGAAAAAGTGCTCGATTTGACTGTCTGCGTTGATAACAGGTAGTTTTAATGCTGATGGTGATACTGCTTGTTCAATTTGCACCTCCGTTTAACCACTTCTCCCCATCCTCCCCCTACCATCTGGGAGATAATAATAGCTATCTATACCTCTATAGCTACTGGAATGAGATTTATCTTTATTTCGTAGATGCATCAGCAGTAGTTGATAGCTTGCATGAGAGACATGGTTTTCGGCTGCCTGTTCTATCTTCAGTTCCTCTATTTGGGGCTGGGCTAACCTAACATAGCACATCCCGATAAAAATGCTAATACTGAGACTGAGGGTGAGGCCAATAGGTGTTCCTTCCCGCCCCGCGCCCTCTCCCTGCCCTTCGTTGTCCTGAAGGTCACTCAACCAGGTTTGACGAGGCATCATACATCATAGCAACCCACTCACTCTCCACTCTGCTCACGGTACTTTGGCAGAAGCCACCAGTAGGTGGCGTAGCGGTGCTGAAGCAGACGACAATGCGTCCAGTGGTTACCAGGACAACAGCTCTAAGCTGAGCCTAGCCGAGAAGCTGCGGCTGTTCACCGCAGCCGCAAAGAGAGCACCGCACCGCCCCCTGGGGGTGGCACCGCGTCGGCGGCGACGGGCAAACGTGTCGCGATTCTCGACTCAGCCGGTGACAGAGGAGGAGGTGAAGGAGGCGGAGTTCACCTTCAACCCACTCTTGGCTTCACTAGTGAAACCTCCAGATGCTGGCATCCTCTCCGGTGAGTGCGCAGCCTCCGTACCACACGCTATCATGCCTCCTGTTATTATCACTCCAAGCGCAGTAATGTTTTCATAAGAACCTTTAAATGTCATTAAGACTGACGTTGAAATGGGTACTGTAGTATTAAACACTGTATTATATTGCGTGCGTGCGTGCGTGCGTGCGTGCGTGCGTGCGCATGTGTGTGTGTAACTGCTCTAAGCAATTGCAGGGGTAGGTTTTACTGTATAAATATTGTGCCCGCATGCGTGGTAATCTACTTCTTCCTACCATGCTACAATTGCCCACCTACGCTGTCACGTATTTTTTATAAATGAGATTTCCTGGCACTCACAAGTGCAAACTGCTCCTTGTTATAGCCAATCAGAGCCGTCGGCACCTGCGTGTGTAGGTGTCAGTGTACATAACAGCTGCAGCTGTCTTGATACCAGCAAGTCAGTGCGCGCACATAAAACACGAGCCATTCCCCAGTACATACATACATGTCTGCTAAGTGCGGCTGAGAGCTGGTGCGCCAAGATTGCGCGCAGTCTGATGTCGGCTCGTTGTTGTGCGATCTGACATTACTGGGAGAGACTCTAGTTTGTAGGTCAGTTTAGCTAGATGGCGAGGTTTGTTACGACCAATCGTGTTTATGGCGAGGAAGACGCAGCTATATATCAGCCGGTATATTGCGTGTGCGCTCAGCTCGGTGTTTATTTGTGTTTCTTGTGTGTGAAATGGGTTTATTCGTGCACCTGTCTATGGATCTTGTCTAGGATATCCAACACTATTAATACTCTCTTTCACTCCCTGCCTCGCTCTCTTCCG